CCCCCCCCTCTGGGGCATCTGGTACTGGCCACTGTCGGCAGACAGGACAGTGGGTTAGATAGACAGTTGGTCTGACCCAGTATGACCGTTCTTATGTGTTTTTTAATTTGGGGTATACATTTAAGTTGGGCCTCACACCTATCCTCACTACTGCAACAAAGACGGGATGGCCTTGTAATGAGAGCACAGATCTGGGTCCCCAGAGACCTAGATTCAATTCCCAGCTCAACAAGAGCATTTTCCTGCGACTTTGAGCAAATCCCTTAATCTGTCAGGACAGCAGTCACCTACCTCACAGGTGCGTTTCCAGCACATACTCCGTAAGTGACAGGGAGGCACCCAGGTGCTATGCTGCGGCAGGCCAGAGCACTAGCAGTGTTTATTGCAGAGAGGCAGTGGGGAGCGCTACATGCACAATGGGGTCTGTGGGTGCTGCCCTGAGCAGCTGCAGCTGCCAGGACCGCCTCGGTGGTGCATTATGCCGCCCTTACAGCTAGGGGCGCGTTACGCCAGGGCTTGGCAGATTTACCCGCCCCGGGCTAGGCAGAAACAGCCGGGCGGGGGCACCAGGCAGGGCTCAGAGGCTGCCAGGAGCTGGGGCAGGTCCCAGGCGCCTCCCGGCATGCTTTGCTGTTTCTGCAGGTCCGCTTCAAGGGGCTTGTGAGAGTTTTAAGCATGTGGCCGCTGCCCCCGGGCAAAGCGAGGGGTGAGCGGAGCCGAGCCTGGGCTGCCCCTGTGCAGAGCTCTGCACCCGTTGGTGGCCTAGCAGCAATGACTTTTCTGGGCGCCTCCCGGCATGCTTTGCTGTTTCTGCAGGTCCGCTTCAAGGGGCTTGTGAGAGTTTTAAGCATGTGGCCGCTGCCCCCGGGCAAAGCGAGGGGTGAGCGGAGCCGAGCCTGGGCTGCCCCTGTGCAGAGCTCTGCACCCGTTGGTGGCCTAGCAGCAATGACTTTTCTGGGAGGCTTCCTCCACCTGGCTCCTCTCCAGCTGGCCTGTCTGACCTCCAGTGCCTTTCCTTTAGCCTCGTGCTCTATTCCAAGGATATATTTATAAACTTTTGTGTAATGGGGCCTAGGTTTCGCTTGTCCTGGGCACCTTCACAGTCAATAATAATCAGTATACTACAGATATTCAAGTCGTGAACTACGACCCCACCACCCCAAATAATGAGATTTTAAAAATTATGAATGCTGGGGTATTTTCTTTACCTTCTGGTTCCTGGAGACTTTAGGGTACCTTCAAGTCTTCTTTTCAAGGTTTTTTCTACTAAGAAACTTTTTTTTAATGAAAGGCGAGATACTAAATGATTTGCTTCCAAAGTCTGACATTTTCAGAAAGATACCAGAATTGTTGTTGGAGTTGTCATGAAATCACGAGAGTTGGCAACAGCAAATAAAGGAAGATTACAATCTGGAAAAAAAAATTTCCATGTCAGAATTGCATGCCTACTATGTCACAGATAATACCTCAGTCCCATAAATTATAGATACCAGAGGACATGTTTGATTATTGTATCAGATTTCAAGTTATGTTCTGATGACCCTCTGTGCAAGAGGTCACATATGAAGCTTACTTGAGGTTTCCATACTTGTGGTACAGTCCCTGGGTAGTTGGGCCTATTTTGCTGAGATTGAGGCAGGGGTCATTCCTCTGATAAACAAAACATGCAGCTGTGTAGGGCACCACATTATTCAGAGCACCAAATTGCCCCACATTTCATAATGTCCAATGCAGCTGGGTGCTGCAAGGCCAGCTCCATCCCCTGACAGCCCCCTCTCCCTGCCTGGAGGCTGTGCCCATCTCTCAGTGCAGGCAGTGGCAACCAGTGGGAGCACAAGTCAGAGGACTCAGGAGGAACAGGGGACAGTCATGCAGTCGACTGTGCTGGAAAGAAATATCAGTTTCCCCTTCAAAGTACCACTCCCACCCCTATGATTCTCCTGGGTCCTTCAGCTGGCACTCATGCTGCTCACCACCACCAGCACCTCCCACCTGCTTCTTGAGACTGTCAGGTGAACCTCCCTCTCTGCCCTGCTCCTGCCCCCAACAGCTTCTGCCCGTGCAGAACCCCCTACCACTGCGAAGTGGCCTCTCCCCCCGTACGGGTGTGCGTGCAGGTGCTGGGCTGTGTAGGGCACCAGCTCTAGTAGGGATGGCCTTGTTGGGGCAGCACCCTGAATACACACTGGCTACGTCTACACTGGCATGATTTTCTGGAAATGCTTTTAACGGAAGTTTTCCGTTAAAAGCATTTTTGGAAAAGCGCATCTAGATTGGCAGGACGCTTTTCCGGAAAAGCACTTTTTCCGGAAAAGCATCCATGGCCAATCTAGACGCGCTTTTCCGCCAAAAAGCCCCGATCGTCATTTTCACGATCGGGGCTTTTTTGCGGAAAACACTACTGTGCTGTCTACACTGGCCCCTTTCCGGAACAGTTTTCTGGGAAAAGACTTTTGCCCGAACGGGAGCAGCATAGTTTTTCTGGAAAAGCACTGATGATTTTACATTAGATTGTCAGTGCTTTTCCGGAAATTCAAGTGGCAAGTGTAGACAGCTGGCAAGTCTTTCCGGAAAAGCGGCTGATTTTCCGGAATAACTTGCCAGTGTAGACACAGACACTAAAGCAGGGGTGGGGAACCTCAGGCTTGGGCTGGATGCAGCCCCTGGCTTTTCAGGATCTGGCCCCCAAAGCTCAGCAATCTGCCCTGCATTGGAGAGCCTGAGCTGGTGCATCAATCACCTACCACCCACTCTCAAGGCTGGAGCACAAAAAACCTACTACCCTGAGCCCTCCTAGGCTCTGTTGTGTGAAGGGAATGTGGGGAGTGTCTTTTTCCTTCTCCCTCAGGGGCTTGTCACTTGTGTGCTACCCCGGACTGGACTGATTTTTCTGTGGGTAGTGGCTCCAATCCAAAAAAAGGTTCCCCACCCCTGCGCTATGGGGAAGAGAGCCACATAGCCGGAGCACAAAAAACCTACTACCCTGAGCCCTCCTAGGCTCTGTTGTGTGAAGGGAATGTGGGGAGTGTCTTTTTCCTTCTCCCTCAGGGGCTTGTCACTTGTGTGCTACCCCGGACTGGACTGATTTTTCTGTGGGTAGTGGCTCCAATCCAAAAAAAGGTTCCCCACCCCTGCGCTATGGGGAAGAGAGCCACATAGCCGTCTTTCATAAACACTCAGTGGGGGCTTGAGATCTGCTGGCTTTCTCCGGCGGGGTTCGTAGGCAACTGAAATTGTATCTC